AGTCATTGTGGTGACCATAATGTGCATTTATTTAGCAAACAGATATGTCGTCATATCTCGCATATTTTTTTCAATGACACTGCTTAAGGATGAATGTTTCTTGTTAAACATCTTTTTTCTACATCGAGCAATATTGCTTGCTCTTTCAAAATCAGGAATGTTGTATTTAGTATCCATAAATGACTTTAGAAACCCTTTTTATAGTGGATATCCAACATCGATCAAATAATATTTATCTGATATAAATACAATAATTAATATTGAAATGAAAACTCTTCTCATTAGTTGAAACTCAAGCAAATTTGAGGGTGGCTACTGAAAATTGTATTTTGAGTTCTTGTGGCAAATTTGAATATGTACCTGATCATGTTCATTTATACACACCATCAACAGGACCACCAGCAAAACCACCACCATGACACAAAAATACCACATCCAACACACACACATACCACCATGGCACAACATCACTACTAACATCACACACCATTGTGGTACACAAAAAAAAAAAAAAACCCACACCATCACTCCAAACATCACCAACAACATAAAAAATCTTTCCTTTAGCAAAGAAGGCTAGCCACCAACAAAAAATAAAAAAAAAATTACGCACACCACCACTAAATAAACATTACCATCTACATAGCATATCCTTCCTCTAATAAAAAGGGCAAACCACCAACAAAAAAAAAAAAAACTTCACCCACACCACCACTACATGCATCACCAACAATATGGCATATCCTTCAACAAAGAGGACAAACCGTTAACATAGCATAACCTTCCTCCAATTGAACCAAAAATGAAATAGAGGGGAGAGCCCCAACCGAGCAAGCCACACTAGGCAAAAAAAAAAAAGTCTTTCGAGTAGAGGCAAAGGAATCGCAAGAAGCCGCACGGGCTACAACACAAAACCAGAAACCGCAAAAAACCAAACCAATAAATCAAAGGAACCAAGCCACAAATAGCAAACCTTCAAACCATAAGATTTTTTCAACGCCAATAGGGTAGAGATTACCAGTTAGAAGGAAATGAAAGAATACCACTAGAATCGAGTATCAAAGACAAGATAGGAATGTAGGAGAAATGAAATGCCACTGGAGCCCGCCGAACATAGTTAGGGCAGAAGATCACACGTGGTCGAAACGTGACAGGGGGAGAGGAGAAGGAGCTAGGGAAAAAAGATCGCACGACGTCAAAAGCGAGGGTGTCGAATAGAAGATCTCACAGGGTCGGAATGTTAGGGGTAATCCGATAATATTTCACAAGCAAAATGCAGGTTGCGGTTTACCTGAATAATTTGGAAAAACAGCTGCACATTTTTTTCTAAACATCAAAACCAACTTTTAGCTTCCGAGCCGCAGTTTAAAAGGTGCCTCAAATTTAGCTGAAGTTGTGGGTGTCACCACTATTACCAACACCACCGCGACCTTCTCCCTGATATGTCCGTGAAGTTTCATAGTGTGGTTGGTGTGAACCCACTACCGAGTTTAATTAAACTTAAGCCACATTCAAGTGTGTGTGTTTCTCCTTCACCACAATCTCCTTTATTTCTTTATCCCCTGCCTCCTCCGTCTTATATACTGTGAAAACCTGCAAGGTTCGATCCTTCCAACAGTGTCACGAGGCAAACTTGTCATCACACCGAAAATATAGCCCTTTGGTTCGCTTCTTTTGAATCTCCATCTGTGTAAGGAATTTGAATGTCACTCCCAGTTATGGTCTACTATTCCTATCCCGTGGAGCCTCCCTCCGGAATCCCAATGTTTGGGTTTTTTGTACCACTATGATTGATAGCATTTTGGTATGGCACTACAATTTTGTTGCTCTGATTATCCTGTTTCATTGTGTTTATATTTTCAATCAACTGTACTATGTTTCTCCCTATCCTCGCAGTTTCAGCAGATGAAGTGTTGCTAAAATCTCTAGCTCCAATCCCTTCATTAAGTTTCCTTTCAATATTGCTTTTGATATCCCTCTTAAACTGTTGGATAACAACTCAAATTTCTTTTTATAATACATGAAAGTCTCTTCCTGCTCGTGCAAGTCCCCTTCCTGCTTGGTTTTGAAGCACTCCAACAATTCGTCCATTAACTCTTTCTATACTCTGATTGGCGGACGTTACTCTCTCCATTGATACCACGCTAGTCATTCCTTCCAAATACAAGGCAGCCACAATCAATTTTTCTTTTTCCGTCAGCTCATTAACAACAATGTATAACTCCATATGATAAACTCAATCATAAGCATCCTCTCCTTCAAACATCAACATCTTCAACTTTTTTGCGTGTCTTTTACCCAATTTTCCGGACTGAAGTTCGTTCCACCCTTGAAGCGATGGTTGGGTACCCTTCCTTGGCCCATATTGATTTCCCTTCTTCCATAAGTTTGACTTGCCTCATAATTAACTCGTCCGTTTCCAGAGGCTTTTGAATCGGCTTCTGCTCAGATAGTGGTTGCAGTTGCCACAGCAAATGGTGTTGACGGGTTCAATGCATCCCTCAGTTGAGTTTCTATCCACTGTGGTTCCCTGTTCTAGGCCTAAATCCTTTGAATTGATCTTTTTCAGCCCATAATTGCACGTCACTATCCCGTCACGAGTGTTGACGCTTGCTTCAGCTCATCTGATGTCTCGCTCGATCCATTCGTCATGATGTCGCTTGAGCATACTTAACATGTCGTTGCTCGATCCTGCAGCTCCAGATCTGCCTAAGGCTGCGATGCTACCCCCTTTGTAACTCGTTCATGGATCGAGTTGTTGGGGGTTCTCTTTTCACATTTCCAATTCGACACACACCCTAATGACAATGCTAGAGGTTTCGTCGATCGTAAACACAGGCTCAGCAACAGAAGATTGGAGTGGAACTCCACGAGCTTCTTTATCATTTCTTCCAAGGTCATGAATCGTCCCTCAATGGACAAGAAATTCCTTCATTCCTGATTTGAGTTGGCCTCTTTTTTTAATCTATTTTTCAAAGCATCAACTTTCTTGACTGTCATTACTCCCACGTACGGCTCGGATACCAATTTGATAGGAATGAGGCAAATTTTCACAGAGATTAGAGTGAAATAAAATATTTTCTTACACTGGCACAATATAACTCATCCAAACACAAAATAATAGACCTACAATTCGAGAGGTAAGTTTAATCTCTCCTAGACCCTAAACTTCTAAAATAAAGACATCGATCACTCACAAGCTCTCATCACATTAAGCTCTATTTGTACAAAATAATAATAATTAACAAATGAAAAAGATGCCTTTTTAGAATTGTGCCTAAAAAAGGTCTTGAAATTATTTGGCGGGCTCGGTGCGGGTTTAGTGGAACCACTCGACTCAATGGAGCACAAGGCGAAATGCGCCGGTCTAACAAAACATTGTAGCACCTACCAGTGAAGTCAAAGAGTGGTCATCCAAAGAAAAGTAGAAGGCCTTCGATGGGGAGAAGGATGTCGTGCAATGTAAGTGCAACTGAATGAGAGTCCATAACCGAATAACTTGTAAGGCCAAGTGCCCATTGCCATCATAATATTTTATGCTCTACTTTCTCCTTGTGATTATAAGAATAGTGCTGTAATCTTTCATGTAATATTATCGTTCGCTTATACTATGCTGCAATTCTTGTCATTGTGATGTGCTATGGTTTTTGTTTTACACTTTTTTATCTTCTGATGTCCCTCTGCTATGCTATACTTCTTGAATTCCATGCTACAGTAGCTACTTTAGAATCTCGTGTTATAATTTTTGTGAATGTACTTTGTTGTAGCAACCACTTTAATAGACTAATAGCTGTTAGAACATTGTTTAACATGTTCAAACTATATTCAAATGATGCTATAATCTTTGTCCGAATTTGTTTTGAACTCTTTTCGCATTAGTCCCTATTCAAGTCTCTTTCATTCTCATATGAAGCCAATGTGCAATCCATCTTAGAATAAGGTTCCAACCTTATTTGAAAGAATTTGGAGGCTTTGAACATAGTTTTAACATATCTTAAACATTTTCTTGGTCATGATTCCAACCTTGTTTGAGCCTTGAAAGAATCCATTCAAGCAAATGCCGGTCACAGGGGCCTTGAATTAAGTTCTCCCTGACCAAAAATAGAGTGATTTTGGTCTGAAACGAACTTTTGAGCATATTTTCCCTAGAAAACAAATGGCTGGCATATTCTCTAAAATTTACCATTATGAGACATATAAAGTCACAAGCGTCATCATGTGTTTGTTTATAGTGACTAAACAGTTAAGGGGCTGATGATGGATGATGGTATCTTCTTTTTATTCAACACACTGAGGCTACAGAACTAATTAGTTCCGCATGAATAGAAATTCCTTGGATTTTTTGTTAATTTTAAATTATAGTGCTCCATTAAAATATTTCTTGTCGGTTCCAGCCTTGTGGTCCAAGTTAAACCTTAATTTATTTTTCTTTCTATTAGAACTAGAGATATTAATGATTATTTTACACTTCCTTCATACTAAATATTTAAGCTTTAAATTCTAAAATTCTTAATTTTTCAGAACTATCTCTAGTTGAACTAAGAAATCCGAAATACGGGCATGAATGTGAAAAGAAGCATGAATTTAAAAAAAAGAAGCTACATTGGAAAACTAGTTAGGCAATATTGTTATAAAGTTGGTATGGCTACTCTCCATATTGGTCTGCACTGTAACTTCAACTAGAATTTATACTACTTTTTGTTATAATTTTGCTTACAGATTTATGGAGTTTTTTCTCTCATATTCAACTTAAAATTGAATGGAATTAAGACATACCTGCTTTGTAAATCAATTTTAGCTGAACTGAGTCTCAACTTTTTGTGTGCAGAAAAAAACATTATTTCAATGACTTTAATGTACTTGTGCTCTTTTGTTGGTTTTGATGACCCATTTGTAGTCATATTTAGTACTATATTTTAATGCCAACCTATATTGCAACTTTTAATTTGATTTGATATATTTGGAGTTGAAGATCTGGTTATTATTATGTTACGTCTCAGGATAGTGAGGAAGAAGTTGCTGATACTGAACAGGCTGAGAATTGGTTCTCTCTGACTTCTGCCCAACGAATATGTGGTATGCCACATATGATTTCACATAATAAAACTATGCATTTTAGGATTTATCGATTTTGGTGCCATATTTTCATTTTGATTTACACTTTACAAACTTAATTATGTTCCATTGTTGGTTATTTTTTATTGATTCCATAGTCTTGCATAACTATGTAATTATTTGTTCCATCGCCATATGTTTTGTAAGCTAATCTTTCAAGAAAGTTTTTAGTTTTTGTTACAACTAACACCTAAACTTTAATATTTATGTATATGTCACCTAAATCCATAACATCACATAAAAAATACCCCTATCATGAACTTTTTAAAAATGAAATGCACATTTTCATGCATAGGTTTATAATACCAAAGTGTATAAATGTAAATATCAAAATTTTGGTGTTTGATATGTAAATACATAAGAATTGTGGGGTATATATATAAATTTCTCAAGCTTATTTGAACGTAGTTTTGGCCAAGCCGTGAAATTAATGAAGAATATGAATTGTGGAATCTATGGCTGTTACTGGTATTATCAATCCAATTCAAGTGTAGCCTATATAGCCTACAGGCAAGAGTCTGGGTTTTCTAGTTTCTATTGATATGAATATACAGAGGCAATGCTGTAAAATGTCACAATTCAATTTACATTGTAATTATTGTCATTTCTACCGATATTTCTCTAGATTTATTAGTTCTAAGACCCGCTAGTTGTACTTGTAATGACAGTTGTCCATCTTTTTTACTTGTTTGTTATTTCCCTTTTTTTTCTTCAGGACTGTTGGATTCTTCTCTTCTCCTTTATGCGGCTGGTCATCCTTGCTCCGTCATTTTAATTTCTCTTTTTTTTTATCACTTGGTCTTCAGTCTTTGGGCATTATTGACTAAGGATAGTATTTAATTCCTATAATATTTTAGCAGATGCTTTAGCAGATGCATACTACAAATCTTTTTTTTTTTCAATGCCTTGATAGTTTCTCGCAGAGTTCTTTTTGGTGCATGGCTTGCCTGTCTTCTCATAATTTGGATCGCTATTATTGTGTTAGTAATGGTTGCTGAGTTTTATTATCTCTTTTGCATTTTTCAGTCCTAGTTAGAGATTGAATATATTCGTGATAGGGTTGGTGTAGCTCCTGTGACAGACAAAATTAGAGAAAGTCGCCTTAGATGGTTTGGTCATATTAAACGTCGACCATTAGATGATCCGATTAGGAGAGTAGATGTTTTAAATTCGACTTGTGTTAAGAAAGGCAGAGGTAGACCTAGGAAGACTTGGGCTTATTGTATTAAAAATGATCTTAATTTACTAGAACTAAATGAAAATATGACACTAAATAGGACGCAATGGAGAAAAAGGATTCATGTAGCCGACCCCACGTAGTGGGATTAAGGCTTTGTTGTTGTTGTTGTTGTTGTAGTCCTAGTTAGAGATTGAAATTTCGTTGTTGATTAAGACATTGGTGCGAAATGTGGTTTTTTATGTGGGGCATTAAAATATGGGAAAAATTATGATTCACGGACACTTCTGACTAAGAAATCACGTAGTGTTAGACACTTTTCAGACACCGACATGTGCCTGACGCACACCTGTCGAACATGTCTTTGATGTGTCTTATTTAAATAATGTTAAAATATAAAAGGGGCACAAGACACCTGTCGAACATGTCTTTGATGTGTCTTATTTAAATAATGTTAAAATATAAAAGGGATACACGTGCCTTAAATTTGTACAAACAACAACAATAGCAAAGCCTTAATCCCACTATATGGGGTCAGCTACATGAATCAACATGAATCAGGATCAGCTACATGAATCATTTTTCTCCATTGCGTCCTATTTATTGTCATATTTTCATTTAGTTCTAATAAATTAAAATCATTTTTTATACAATAAGCCGTAGTCATCCTAGGTCTACCTTTGTCTTTCTTAACATAAGTCGAATCTAAAACATTTACTCTCCTAATCGAATCATCAGATGGTCGACGTTTAATGTGATCAAACCATCTAAGACGACTTTCTCTAAGGAGCTACACCAACCCTATCACGGATATATTCATTTTGCATTTTGTCTCTAAGTGTAAAGCCACTCATCGACCTAATCATTCTCATCTTGGCAACACTTAACTTAGTATTATGCTTCTCTTTTAAAGGCCAACATTCAACGCCATAAAGCATTGCAAGTCTCGCCACTATCTTATAAAGTTTTCCTTTCAGTCTAAGCGGTACTTTTCTATCACACAAAAGGCCCGAAGCGTTCCTCCACTTTAACCAACCTAGTTGAATTCTACTATTAACATCCCCATCTATATCACCATCGTTTTGAACAACAGACTCGAGATATCTAAATCGTTCACACCTTTTAGTAATTTGATCGCCCAAAGTTACACTTTTGTCACTAGAGCTACTACTACTGAAATTACATTCTATGTATTCAGTTTTAGTTCTACTCAAATGAAGGCCTTTAGACTCCAATTTAAACCTCCATAATTCAAGTTTTTCTTTGGTTTTTTCTCTCGTCTTATCCACAAGAAGGATATCATCAACAAAAAACATACACTAAGGCACATCCTCTTGTAAATGTCCAGTAAGACCATCCATAACTAAAGCAAAAATATATGAGCTTAAAGCCGATCCCTGCTGTAAATCCAACATAAATAGGAAAATATTTGGTCAATCCTCTTTCAGTTTGAACACAAGTAACAACTCTAGTATATATATCTTTAATGACTTGAATATAAGTCATATCAATGTTTTTCTTCTCAAGAACTCTCGAAAGGATTTCTCTTGGAACCTTATCGTAAGCTTTCTCTAAATCAATAAAAATCAAATGTGGATTCTCCTTATTATCTCTGAACTTCTCCATCATACTTCTCAATAAATGTATATATTTAAAACATTTATGGTATATTTTAGTAAACTTAAAATTAATAATTTATTTTTTATTTAAAGCATAAGCGTATTTGTTTGACTTATTTGTTTGATATTTTTTTCTCGCAGACGAGCTTGAGCAGTTTGCTAATCGCTCTCCTGGACTAGTATTTCTCGTTATGGATATCTTTTTTTTAAAGATAATGCTATTAAGTTATTTATATTTTTTTGTATTATTATTATTATTAATTTTTAGGTACATTTACATACATGCCACCTAAAACTACTAATATTACATATTTAACGTCTAAACTCACCTATTTACCTTTTTAGCACCCAAAAATTAAAAAAAAAACTAAAAAATAACACCCTGCCGTTAAAATTAATCAATCTGTTATGCATCTAGGCCAGGCGGTCTTTCTAATTCACTGGATTTCGTTCCCAGCTGCCGCCGACGAGACAGTTATGCTGGCGAACACCGGCATCCAATGCTTTGCCAACACAATCTCAAATCCATACTCTTCTTCCAAGGCATGCGATCCAGCTGCCATTTTCTACTGCTACTCCTATTAGGGACATAAAAGTTGCGTTAATCGAGCACTCAACTAAATTTTCCTGATCACCGAAGAAAATTCTCTATTCTTCTAATTCTTTTCTTCCTAATTATGGCCTCTCTGACTTCTTGCTGTTTCTCCTTAACTATTTCTCAATTTTGAGTCCTATAGCTATAGTGAATCCGAGATCTTCCTCCTCTGTTCTCTTTTCGGCTGCAGTGTCATCAATTTTGGTGAATTTCTGCCCTCTGACGAACTCCCTGTTACTAACACTGTTTACACGGAGTGCTGTAAATGTCAATAAGCAAGCCTAAGTGTGAAATATGCAATACTAAATATTTTTATGTGCTATGTATGTAAATTTCTCTAATTTTTATTATAATGGCATTTCTGACGCATGTTTGTATCTTATATTTTTAATAATAGAAGTGTTTGTATCCATGTCGTGTCATGTCGTGTCCGTATCCACACAACATGGGAAAAGTTGTTAATTACATTTGGCTAGTGGTCTCCTTGTTATTAGAGTTACCTGAAACTTATTAGACCTTAGGAAGATTTACATGCATGCCACTCAATTCTTGTGTATCTAATATCTAACATTTGAACTTCAATTTTTACGTACATGCCACCTTAACAATCTGTGAAAAGGTGTATTTCAAGAAAAAGGTGTATTTCTCTTATAAATTAAAATGATGGTATTTTTTATATGATATTAAGGATTTGGGCAGTATAAGTGTAAAAAGTTAAGTTTAGGTTTTAGGTATGTATACTCATGAGAATTGGGTGGTATGTATGTAAGTGCCTCTAGATCTTATTATAGACGTTGACATCTTCTGTCCCCCAATGTATCCGACCTCTGCTCTGCCTCCATTTTCTCCATAAGCTTTGATTTTTGAGTTTTTATGTTGTTTAACTTATTGGTTGGCTTAGTTATACTGTATTCTGGATTCCAGTGGCTCCACATTATTGACTTGTTCTAGCTATAATATTTACGACAGGAAGAAGGATTGCATCACATGAATTTAATTCACTATTTGCTTATTTTCCAGATATGTTTCTTGCATTGGATAAGGATATGAATGGGACGTTAAGCAAGCAGGAGCTCAAGGAGTATGCCGATGGAACGTTGACAGACATATTCATTGAGAGAGGTGAGAAACTTCTATCAGAGCGTTTGAATCTTATGGGCCGTTTGTGATCATTTTTGTTTTTTATATTTTGTGTTTATTTAATTTTCTTTATTTTTTGATTTGAAATAAAATATATTTGGTTATTTGATTTAAGAATTGTTATTTTGAAAAACATTCAAAATATTTAAAAGTAGTTTTGAGTGTTTGTAAAAAACATGATAATTTGTATTTAAAAACAAAAAAAAGAACCTGTAAAAACATGTTGAACAAACATATTTTTAAAAATAAAAGAAGAAATAAAAACAAAACCAAAAATAAATTTTATCTCAAACAAGCTCTAGCATCGCATTATTTCTTTATGCATTATGATATCAATTCTTGCAAACACCATTTGGAGTCGTAATCTTCATAGCATCCACCGAACCCCACGGATATCGTCAAAATATTCCCAACCATGTTTGGCAAGCTTGGAAACTTGATGGCATTCAATTTTTCACCATTTCAGGACTTCAAATTGATACTTGTTATATATATCACAACTAAACTTTTATATTTACATGCAACACTTCGTTGCTTCATGAAAAGGTCTATTTCACTCTTAGAAAGCGGTAATAGTTCTATTTTTGATGTGATATTGAAGATTTGAGTGTTATGTGTGTAAATGTGAAAGTTTAGAAGGAAGATATGTAAATATATTTGAGTGTTATGTGTGTAAATATGAAAGTTTAGAAGGAAGATATGTAAATACTTTAGATTTGTGTGCTATGTATGGAAATGCCCCTATATATTTATATTTCTTTTATCGATGGTTAGCTTTTCTAGTCATTTAGAACTCTTCCTTTAGCACTGAATGTAGATTCAGATGAAACCATATTTATAGAAATTGTCAAAAGATTCCCAACCATGTTTGGCAAGCTTGGAAACTTGAGAGGATTCAATTTTCACCATTTCAGGACTTTGATTCTTGTTACGAATAGACCATCCCTCTTCAAGAAAACTCTGTAGGTTAGATTTGAAGGTTGAATAGACTCCGACAATACAACATAATTATCCAGTTTAAGCATAAATTCAAGAATAAATGAAAAGGTAGTAATATTTGATGTTGAAAATTTTCTTTTTATATTGTTGAAAACGATGCTTTTTTTGAACCAATAACAACAAAACTTCAAATTTATCGGACCAACAACACATATTTGTATATATTTTTAAATAACATCATGAATAACTTGACTCTTGGATTCCAACTTATATGATGAGTATATCTTTGGAAACGTGAAATTGATGAACTTTAATTTGAGATGTGGATCTAAAATGAATGCCATGGAAATCAATAGATTGCACTCACCCTGACATTGGAGCTGCCCAAGAGACATTTATGCGACTTCTGCATAGTACTATGAACCTACTATAGTACTGCGAGCCTCAGAAAGCAACCTGCTCGCAGTCTAGATTTTTTACATGAGTGGAGTCGACCGGTCCTCTTGGGCCACTTCTAATTATTGTATTATTATATATGTGATTTCGTAGGAGTTTAGGGTTTGGTTTTGTATGAGTTTGTTCGAGATTGCCGCTAGTGTCTTTGTTTTCCTTTCAAAGGTTCTCGTGGGTTTGAATGGTGCTCCAGTTGTATCTCTCTCCGGAGGTGATGATTATTTTCCCTATCCCCTTCTGCATCTTCCCCATGTAACTCCTGGCACCCTCCATCCCTGCAGTTGGGCCCGAATAGAACTCATTTTCTATTTTTTACTACGATTTTCTAATTTCTACCCTTCTTGCGTGTTGTCACCGCCCCGTACAACCTCCCTTGCTGTCCTATAGTCTGCCATCTTCCTCCACTATTATAGTCGCCATCTTCCTCCACTGCTACAGCCTCCATCGCCTTCCACCGCCGCAACCAAACGATACAACAATCTTTCTTGTTAATCCCGCAGTCCAATTGCACACCACCTCCTTCCATCAATCTAGCTTGTTGACTCGTGTTCGCAGCCTCTTTCCCCTCTCTGTCGTCATCCGATAAACGAAAAACCTATTGTTTTCTTGCTATCCCCTGGCTATTCTAGCCTTTCCATACCTCCTCGCAGCTCTGCTTGCCACCAGACTTGTTGTCTTTGCTCCAGTTTCCACAACCGATACTTCTATCACTTTCCGTTGTGTTGCCTATATTTCCTCGCAGTCTCGCGCTCTCCATACCTTGCCGCCACTTTTCCAGAGCCCTAACAACTACCACCGCTACCTGAGATCCGCCCCAGTAGTGTGTTGTGCCACTAGACTTGTTGTCTTTGCTCTAGTTTCCACAACCGATACTTCTATCACTTTCCGTTGTGATGCCTATATTTCCTCGCAGTCTCGCACCTTCCATACCTTGCCACCACTTTTCCAGAGCCCTAACAGCTACCACCGCCACCTGAGATCCGCCCCAGTAGTGTGTTGTGTGTTCTGATGTCGTTATTTCTTATTTCTGTGTGTTTGGCTATAAATACCTATTTGACATTTTTATTAATAATATTTGCTTTACCTTTTTTCATTTGGGTAACTCTGGTTTTTTAATATCCACCTATACCTAATCCTATTTCCACCCAAAAATATTTTCCCACCTTACATCACCTCTATGCACCTTCCACTTACCCTCACCCAAAATTGAATCATGTCGCCGAAGAGGCAATTGCCATAACTTATCAGAAGTTCACCATTGAAGAGATTCAACGACAACTCCGCTTAATGCTACAGAAGCTCGAGGAAATTGAGAAAAGGACATAGGGAGAGGTTAACTACGAGTGTGGTAGCGAGATCTAAAGAGGAGAGAGAGAGGAAGGTGCACATGAATCCCTTCTATAGGTTTGATTCTAGTGGAAGAGAAGACAGACCACAATATTTTGGGATACGGTATCAGAAGTGGTTAAGAGATGAAGTGTCTGTTACAGTTTCATAGATGAAGTGCCTCTACTCCAATGAGCTGTCCAAAATTATCAGAGTAGTCAAGATTTTGGAATAAAGTTATATTTGTTATATTTTGAGAGTTGCTTGGATCCGGACGAGTTCATCAAGTGGCTTTAGATTGTGAAATATTTTCTGTTAGTATCAGGACGTCCCACCGAACAAAATGATGAAATTAGTCCCCATCAAATTAAAGAAGATTTCATTATTTTGGTGGAAAATTTTGAAGCACTTACACTAGCGTGAGAGGAAAAGATAAGATTGCTACCTAATCCAGGATGAAATGGGAGATGCAATGATAGTACGTACCAGTTCACACAATACACATCATCGGGCAACTATCATGACCTGACATGGTAGTTTGGAATTAACTAAGTCATGAACGACAGTCGGTCGATATTAATACTTTAATTTCATTCGACATAATTTTTAAAAAACTCCCAACATATAAAAGAGCAACTAGTTATCCACTAAGTGCAATATACAAAAATCAAAACATCTAGAAATCACGTAATATGTAAACAACTTTTCTAGCTAGCACTAAACAATATAATCATACTATGAAAGAAAAATAGTACAAAGAAGCTACAATCATAATACCTAGCAACAATGGTTATCCTCCTGTAAACTAAACCCCTTCTGCTAGACATAACAACCTATGACTTTTCTTTTCTTGAAAGAAAATATTAATTTCAACTTTAAGTTTGACTTAGCGAGTAATTATAATCTTAATATGCATTAAATTTTTATGTCAATGCAATGCATGAATGCCCAAAGAAAATGCAGTTCATTTATTTATAAAACTTTGAACTTTCATGTTTAATTTATCCTTTTTCATTTCACTTTAAGTATTTTTCGTTTAACCTCTTTAAGCATCATAACAGGATTGCTGTCATACTCTAAAATTGCAGTCGAAGTTACACATTTATCATTTATTTTAACGTGCACGATACATCGCATCCATTATCAGTGTCATCTGAGAGTAATCCTATATGAAGAAACATTTACATTTCATATCAATTTAAAATCCTTTAAGATGTACATTTATTTGTCGGTTATTTTTCTCTCATTTGTGATACAATTTTAGACTTTCAAAATGACATATATGAATAAATACTTGTTTTAACTCATTTAATAAAACAATTATTCATTCAATAAAATATTAATTTAATGCATAAAAGATAATAGTCACTCACCTTGCTTTCAAGTGACCTCTGAAATATCTATCACTTTACTTCCTCGACTATCTCTTATATCAATTAGAGATGTATACAACTATAAAAAATCCTATCATAAAAGAAATATTTAATACATCTAATGACTTATAATTAAAATGACACATAAATAATTATACAATTTCTTATCTTAAAAAATTTGATTTGCTCCCTCGCACAAGAATTCCCTTTACTCGTACAGGAGGTTTGTGACACCTCCTCCCTCAAAATTTCATAATTTTATAGCTTAGATCCTAACATCACGTGCATTTTAAATTTAACCTTTAAATACACACACACATTAAATAACTTGATTAATTAAAACAATTTATTAATTAACTTACACACACATTTTTAATATTAATAAAATTTCATATATACCTTATTCTTCGACTATTTGCCCCAACCTCACGCAAGGTGCCATGCGAGCTCCCTCTTACTTCCTTCAGTCTTGACTGGCCTAATGCATCACATGTCCTCTTCCTCTGCTTATGTTGCACGCAGAGACCTGGATTTTCCTTCCTCTACCTTTGGTCTCGACAAAAAGTCGTAGATCCTTCTTCTTTCTCTTCTCCTTCGCACGGCTCGACACTACACAGAAGTCGCATGTTGCCTCTCCCTTTTTGCACACAATCACAGTGTCAAAGGCGATCTACTAGGGCACCTTTTGCAAGGCTCGACTGACCTTCCTCACACAAGGTTTGCTCCTCTATTTCCTCCTTCCTCAAGTTTCAATGCAAAACTCACGCAACGCTCGTAAGTTTCTTTTTTCCTAATTAGAGCATTGTAGTTTCTTCTCTTTTATGACCTTCTCTCTTGCTTTTCAATTTGATTGATACAAATGAGGGGGAAATGTCGAAATAACATGAAATA